CTCCTGTTTTTGAACTGTAGACAGCGTGACTGCTATTCCAACCTCCGGAACCAAGCAGTTAGATGGCGCTGGTGACAAACCCTCAGCAACTAGGGATTCCCTGTCCCTCCAGGCCTTTAGCAGATTAATGTGGTAGATCTGCTCCGGTTTCCGCCTTCCTGGTTGTCTGACCCTGTAATTCACTTCACTCACTTTCTCAATCACCTCGTAGGGGCCATGCCATTTGGCCAGGAATTTGCTTTCAACCGTAGGGATTAGCACTAGCACTCTATCTCCTTCAGCAAATGACCTGGTCCGGGCCCCCCGATTGTACACCCTCTGCTGCGCTAACTGTGCTTGGGACAAATGTTCCTTTACGATAGGCATGACCTGGGCAATTCTATCTTGCATTTGGGCGACGTGCTCAATCACACTCCGGTGGGGAGAACTCTCACTTTCCCAAGTTTCCTTGGCGATATCTAACAGCCCCCTTGGGTGTCTCCCATAGAGCAACTCAAATGGTGAAAACCCTGTGGAGGACTGGGGTACCTCCCGGATGGCAAACATCAAATAGGGTACTAAATAATCCCAACCCTTTCCATCCTTATCTACCACCTTCCTTAGCATTTGTTTCAGGGTTTTGTTGAACCTTTCCACCAACCCGTCAGTTTGGGGATGATACACAGAGGTGCGCAACTGTTTGACCTTGAACAGTTTGCACAGCTCTTTCATCACCCGGGACATAAAGGGGGTTCCCTGATCCGTCAGCAGTTCCTTTGAAATACCCACTCGGCTGAAAACGAGGAATAGCTCCTTAGCTATTGTCTTGGCAGAGGTATTTCGGAGTGGAATTGCTTCTGGATAGCGGGTGGCATAGTCGAGTATGACCAACAGGTACTTATGCCCCCTAGCGGATTTCACCAGCGGACCTACCAAATCCATGGCAATCCTTTCAAAGGGGACCTCAATGATGGGAAGAGGTACCAGTGGACTACGGAAATGGGGCATAGGGGCCGACTTCTGACACACAGGGCAAGAGGAACAGTAATTTTCCACCTCCTTAATGACCCCAGGCCAATAGAACCGCTGCAGTACTCTTTCCCGTGTTTTCTCCGCCCCCAAATGACCCCCAAGGATGTGTCCATGGGCCAACTCCAACACCAACTTCCTGTAAGGTCTGGGCACCACCAGTTGCTCAATGGTTTCTTCTGCCCCTTGAGCAACTCGATAGAGTAGGTCCCTTTCCACAAGGAAGTATGGATAAGCAGCAGTTTTCTCAGGACTCACTAGTTGACCATCTACTTTTACTACATTTTCCCGGGCTTTTATCAGTGTGGGGTCTTTCAGCTGTTCGGTTGCAAAATTTTCCCTATGCACCTCTAAGTCCGAGAACTCCACAACTGGCAGATTTTCATCTGAGGAGGCGGGCTCCTCCTCAGTTCCTTGGGTCTCCCCAGCTAGTACCGACAAGGGGAACTTGGGAGAGACCTCACCACACTCAGACGCTTTCTGGGATTCACCTTCCTGGTCTGCAGGGGAGACAGTGGGGGGGTCAGAACAATCCCAGAGTTCCCAGAATTTTGGAAAATCCCTCCCCACAATGGCATCATGTGGTAAATGAGGTACCAATCCTACCTGATGAGACAGGTTACCTTTGGGGTCTCAAAAAACACAGTAGCCACGGGATACTCCCTAGTGTCCCCATGCACACAAATCACCGCCACCTTTTTATGCCCAGAGACCTTTGTAGTGACCATCTCCTCTCTTATCAAGGTTACCAGGCTACCTGAATCCAGCAACCCCACAATATTATTTCCATTAACAGTCATTTTGCACAAATGTTTCTCAGTGCCCGGGCTGGCCGTGCATACCACTGTCGCAAACAGCGACTGACGTCTATTGCTCAGAAAGTCACACTGCATAGGCTCATCCACCACTGGGCAATTAGCTGCAATGTGTCCCTCTTGCCGGCAGCGGTAACAGACAATTTTTTTCACCGCTTCTTGCAGCCTTGGCCTTCCTGGCCGCTCTTGCCAGACATTGGGTAACACTCCCACCCTCTCACTCTCTCCACCCTCACCCCTTGTAGTCATCTTACCCGCCGCTGGGGATGGTCTGGTCTTAGGGTGGAAAGTCCGTGAGTCTCTGGAAGAGGAGGTCAGGTTCTCAGTAGCCAAGTATCTCTCCACTAGATCCACCAGCTTGTCTGCAGTTTCTGGGTCTCCATGGCTGACCCACTTTTGAATAGTAGTAGGCAGAGACCTTAGGAACCGATCCATGACGACACGTTCCACAATTTTTGGGGCGGTCAAAGTCTCTGGCTGCAGCCACTTCCTGCTCAGGTGAATGAGATCATACATCTGTGACCTGGGAGGTTTCCCAAGCCGAAAAGTCCAATTATGTACCCGCTGAGCACGGACAGCGAGGGTAACACCCAACGGGCCAAAATTTCCACTTTTAGCACATCATAGTTTTTGGCTTGGTCCGGCTCTAGGTCATAGTAAGCTTTTTGCGACTCTCCAGTTAATAATGGGGCCATCAGTCCAGCCCACTGTTCTTTAGGCCACTTTTCCCTTTCAGCAGTCCTTTCAAAGGTGGTTAGAAACACCTCCGGATCATCCTCTCCCGTCATTTTTGGCAATAAACGGCCCACAGAAAATGATGGTGTTTTACCAGAATCAGCCTCAGTCTGCTGCCTCTGCTGGAGCTGCTTCAAAACAGCCTCCATTTGTTGCTGGTGTTTCTGGTCCTGTTGCACCAGCAATTCCCTATGGCGGACCTCTGCTTGTTCCAAGGCCCTCTGCTGGACTGCAATGCTCTGCTGGAAACTTGCATTTGCCTGTTGTTGATTGGCATTTGCCAGAGCCAACTGTCTGATTATCTCCTCCATGCTGGCCTTTAGTTACCACAACTGCCCGCCGTCCTCCACCATATGTAACAGGGTTAGCTCGGCAGCGGGTGTGTGTGACCCCCTGGATGGGTGCACAACACAAAAAAAATAGGCACAGCACAACAATAGTGGAGGTGAAAACAAACAGGTGCAATTTATTTACAGTATTTACAGAAAAAAGGATAAACAAAAAGAAACATCAAAATAAATCCTGGCCAACTTGGCTACTTACTGCAACAACAGCTTCTCCCTAGCTACCCACTAGGTACAGCCTGCTGCTATACCTAGTTGCTAGTACTTGGAGGCTAGCCACACAGGCTTTGGTCTCTCTGCACACAGGTAACAGGTCAGCTCCCCAGACAGTTCAGGCACAGATCTGGTTCCAGGGTGGAGCAACTCCCTAAGCACTCTGGGAGGTTTTATAGAGGTGTTTAATGAGCCCACTACCTTCAGCTGGGCTCATTACCTCAGTGCTGAAGGACTCAGCACTTCCCTCTAGTGGTACAAATCCCCATAAAGCCTGAACTTTGGACAAATATATCGTCCATCCAGGACGCAACCAGGTGATTTCACCTGCCTACTGTCACAGTATATATACATATCTTAGTTACATCTTCTCTGTAAATATTTTTATTGCACCTGTTTGACCCTTTTAGTAATAAATCTCTCTTTCTGAAAGTGTTGAACTGTTTATATAGCTCTTAATTGCACTTTACGAATCCCTGCCTTTAAAGAGACGCTACTGTTTGTTTTAACCCTCTGTATAACAGGCCTGTATTATAACCAGGTTATGCAGTCGATTATATCAACCATTATAGTGTTATAGCTGAACGCCGAGTTTCCTCTTTCTCTGATCAAAAAGGAGGTGGTGGTAGTGTGAAGGGGTTAACTGCGTAATTAACCTGACCCAGTAACAATCGATTCAGGCTGCTGGCACATCGATCGGTATCCATTAGCTGGAAAATCGTTGTGCAGGGTGCAGCTGGGTGTGGCATTGTTACGCACGTCACATCGCGGTTGTAGATCGGTTAGCCCTTCGGTCACGAATTTGGTGAGAAGGTCTGGGGTCTGACACCACGATCGTGACAATCACCTGTCATAGGATCACAGTTTTATGGCACCACATTCTGTCCAGAGGCAGCTGTCATGGAGGAGAGTGATTCCTCAGTCGGTGCACGTCCCATCATCCCATTAATTTATATTGTAGGGTGGATGCCGCAGCTCTGCTCACACTGAGCTCCATCCATCTTACATGTAGCCTGGGAGGAGAATGACAGGAGGGTGATAAGAATGGGGAGCAGTTGCAAAAGTAAGTAAAATGCCTGCACCTGTTTGTGCCCCCAAACCTGTGGAAAGACGTGCAAAATTCTCTCTCGCTCTCTCCAGACGGGTGCAGCGGGTGCCCCTCGAAGAAGAGTGCTTGTAGGATCATCCCTACAGTGCCTAATGGGAAATTCGGCCCTGACTGAGTGCCACCACCTTAATCAAATGCACACACACCAAACCATAGGCTGTAATAAGTACAGCAGACACAGCAATATCTCAGGCACAAATCCTCGCAAGGTGTATGTACTTTCACTCCTCTAAGGCAGCAGCAAAAGGCAACTCCCATTGGAACAAAGAGAGCTCACAAAAGAGCCAACAGGCAGTCAGCAATAGTGTAGTAGTTTAAATGAAGGCTTACTGGAGCCAGTCATCCAGTTAAAACAATGAGACAGCGGAAAAACACAGTAAAAATTTGCTGAGAGAGCCACTGATGACCCGGGATCATGCAGCAGCGTGACGTCAGCACTGAGACGATGGTGGCACTTGGTGTATTCATTACAAGCATCTGCTGGATGGTGGAAGATCTTTTTATCTGAATATATATGGACTCTGATTTAAGAGACATCATGTTTGGCATGTTGAACACTGTTTAATTGTTTTTTTTGTATGTTCTTGTTATATTCACTGGCATTGCATCATTTTACAATACTTTAGGTTTAGGTTTGGGTATATCAAACCTTCTTTGCCAGTGGCCACACGTGTTATCACAGTGCAAATTCATTACAATACATTTATTATGTTGCAGTAATTGTCAAAGGATCACAGTCCTGAAAACTGAAAAACGGCCTTGTAATGAAGAGGGTGCTTAAGTGGTTAAGGAGATCCAGATCAAACTCACCTGTACAAGAGCTGTGCAAAGCCCAAAAATCCCAACTGCAAGAAGATTCTCATGAAGCCAAATTTTGACAGTCTCATAGCAAGGCTGGAATGAAACAATATATATATTTTTAAATGCCAAACCTTATTTTTGAATAAGTTATTGCTGTTTCTCTACATTTTGCCACAAATATTTCATCCTCTTCATACAGATTCGAAATAGAAATTAGCAGTGTCCAAATGAATAAATGTTTTGAAGCAACTTGATTAAACCGCCGAACCTACTTCCTCATCACTGAAGAGGAATTATGAAAAAAGTTAAACAACAAAATAACTCAATTACACCACTATCAAAAACGTTCCTTTCCCAGGAAGTGTAAATTCAGAAAAAGTTGCATACATCAACACAAATATTTGTAGAGTAAGCTCTTATAAATGCAAATAACTAATATAATATATTTGATGGGTTATTTTCACCTTAGATGACATATGGCAAAATTAGTACAGTACCGCAGAAAAAGCTGTTCGCTATATTTTCTTTCAATTTACAGTATATTATGCATATATGTTTTAAATGTATAAAATAAAAATATTAATTATATTATTATTATTATTATATTATATGTTTTGACTCTCATCTGCAGTTACTTTATTTAATTGTCTTCAGAAGCAGAATAGGTTATGCAAAAAGCAGTAGTGATGCCAATAGGCCCTACTTTGTAAAGCAAAGGGCCTGTTCACTGCCCTTGAGACTTAGAGAGAGCAGCCTGGTGCTACCGGAAGTAAAAGTTCCCTGGCATAACTTGTCAGTGGGAGTAAACTATGGTGGAGGTCAGCACAGGGGCGGCTTCAGACAAATATTTTTTGGGGTGCTATGCTGGTGCTTGAGGTATGAGTAGGGGTGCTAATGCAGTGCGAGAAGCATGCTGCCGACCATGGACATGTGGGCGTGGCCTGCAAGTGGATTTTTCTTCATGATCTACGATTTGTAGTATAACACTTTTCCCCCTTTGTATAGACTAAATAAGACCTGGGGTTGAACTGAGGAGACTCTCGGATTAAAATAAGCCCAGCTGGGGCCAGAAATGAAAACCCATATCCATAACCCATAGCTGTCAAAATTCAGCAATAATCCCCAGCACAGCAAAATAACTCCCAGCACTTCACAGTAGGACACAAAAATTAACCCTTAGCACAGCACAGTAATTAACCAGGGTTCATTAATTAACCCTCAGCATGGCACAGTCATTTAACCCCACCACCATTGCAGAACAATTAATCCTAAACATTGCACAGCAATTAGCCCTTCAAATTACACAACTATTAGCCCCCAACATTGCATTGTAAATAACCCACAGCAGGTCACATTAACCTGCAACAGCACACAATAATTGCTGAGCACATCACAGTAATGAACCTCCAGCATCACACATTAATTAACCCCCAACATTGCACAATATTAAACCCCCAGCAGTATAGCAATCAGTTGGCCCCTCCTCTGTATATCAATAAAAAACAAAAAAATGCAGCACAACTTTACACTTCCTCTATGAAATTGTAAAATGGACTATACAATTTTAAAATGATTATAGAGTGCAATTCAGCCAATGTATTGCAATATAGTAGTGCTGGTGTCACCCTCTCTGCAAAAATATTTTGACAAATTGCAGAGCTGCAATGTACAAACAATGGTGAAATCCCCTACGTATAATAATAATAGCAAAGGTGCAAATCAGCCAATGTAGTAGAACATAGTAGTGATGGTGTCACCCTCTCTGCAAAAGTTAAGTAATATTGCAGGGCTGCAATGTGCAAATAGTGAAGAAACCCCATATATATCATAATAATAACTGTACAATATGTACATCGATTTTACATTTATTACGATTCTTAAAATTTGCAGAGAAGGTGACATGATCACTACTGTGTTCTAATACACTGGGTGCACCTCTTCTATTATTATTGTACATAGGGGGTTTCACCATTATTTGCACATTGCAGCTCTGCAATTTCTCAAAATATTTTTGCAGAGAGGGTGACACCACCACGAATATATTGCAATACATTGGTTGATTTGTATTGAATATTTATATATACATTTTACCATTGCACTTACAAATCCATTTGCACAATGTTATAGAGGAAAGTAAAGGATTTTTAGCTTTCATTGATTCACGTTAGATGCGAGAACACATATCAATGCTAGCCGCAACCAGCTAAAAAAATTCTCTAGTTATTGCTATTGAGATTTTGTTTGGTTGCAAGTTTCATTTGATTTGGTATGTCCTCTATATACTGGTAGCCAGTAGCCCTGCATTCTGGGGGTCAGTGTGCCCCTGTATACTGGTGGTCAGGGAATATTTTGCATAGAATAGGTGCAGGATCTCAACCACGCTCCCACCACAATACAAATGACCCCCTTTCCCCCACTGGGAGGGGGGCGGCGACATACTGCATCAAATGGTGGTTCTGCCCAATCTGTACTAACAGGGGAAGGGTCTTAAAGGGGCATTGTTAAAAACCAGGAGTGTGGGGTTCAGGATTGTGCTGTGCATAGAGTGAAGGGCTGAGGAGTGTGTAGTGGGCTACATACAGAGTGCGGGGTTGAGGAGCATACTACATGCACAGTGCATCTTTCAGAAATGCTCTACGTACAGAGTGCAGGATTGGGGAGCATGCTACATACAGAGCACAGAGTTCAAAAGGATGCTACGTACAGAATGCAGGATTCAGGAGGATTCTACGTACAGACTGCAGGGTTCAGGAGGATGCTACATATAGAGTGCAGAGTTCAGGAGGATGCTACATACAGAGTGCAGAGCTCAGGAGTGTTCAGTGTACAGAGTGCAGGGTTCAGGAGGATGCTACGTACAGAGTGCAGAATTTATAAGTGTACTATGTACAGAGTGCAGGGCTCAGGAGTGTACTACCTACAGAACACAGGGCACTAGCTAGGCTACGTGCAAAGTGCAGGGCTCAGGTTGATACTACATACAGAGGGCAGAGTTCAAGAGGATACTCCATACAGACTGCATGGTTTAGGAGGATGCTACATACAGAGTGCAAGGTTCTGGAGGATGCTTCATACAGAGTGCAGGCTTCAGAGGGATGCTATATACATCATGCAGGGTTCAGGAGTTTGTTACGTATAGCGTGCAGGACTCAGGAGCTTACTATGTACAGAGCTCAGGAGTGTACTACGTACAGAGTGCAGAGCTCAGGAGTGTACTACGTACAGAGTGCAGAGCTCAGAGCTTCAGAGCTTTCCTATTGGCTGAGGAGGCAGCAGAGAGGCTGTGTATCAATCCGCCTCTAAAAAAAGCTTACCAGGACTCAGTAAAGGTTATTGCATAATGTGGCCGGAGCAGTTGTATCCCTCCACAGGAAAAAAAAAAGAGTCCCCAGCTTCCTGGCATTGATACTGGATTTGCAGATATAATAAAAAAAGCACTGACACAAGCTCCTACCTCATGCTGCCCTTAGGTTAGCAGGAGTAAAAAAAATTACCTACTACCTTTGGTCAGTGTGAGAAGGAATAGTGGCCATTGTTGGTATCGGAGAGGAATAGTGACTCATTGTTGGAGTAAGTGGAAGAAATCATGCTCCATCATTTGTGTCAGTGGAATAAATAGTGTTTCATCATTGGTGTCAGTTGAATAAATAGTGCCCCGTTGTGACAGTGGAAGAAATAGTGCCCCATTGTGACAGTGGAAGAAATAGTGCCCCTTTGTGAAAGTGGAAGAAATAGTGCCCCAATGTCCATATAACGACAAGCAAAGGCCCACAGTTTGGGGATGTACAGCAGCATGGGAAATTATAATAATAGTTATATGTACATGTGAATATGCTATCAGTATACATAAAGTATGTTGATTAGGTTTTCTTTGTCTAACGATTTATGTCTAAGATATGGGTGCTTTTTTATAGTTAGTACATAGCATGGTACATTTTACCTGGCAAATAAAATAATTTAATCTTCATGCGTAAGTCATAGTAAACATGCACTGGTGTATATGGTTGCCCTTACCGCTTTCCACCATGTTCCTGGGGAGTGCAGGCCACAGTTCTCACTGAACTCCAAGCAGCAGGAATCTGGGACACGGCTGGTGTTGTACACCTCAAACCAGTCAGTGTAGTTCGCAACTCCACAACATCTGAACTGTAGAGAGACATACAAGAACAATGTAGAAGGTATTACTAAAATACTGTACATACAAAGCGATTTGGAACCTTCTAACAATTGTTTTCTTAGGCATACATAAATTATATTCTAATCTCTTGCTTTTTAGCTATCAAAAAAAAACACGTTGTGCGATTAAGGAAATCTATTAGTGCATTAAAGTAGTTTTTTCAAGGTTTCTTACCTTCATGCATTCTATGCATGAAGATAAAAAACCTTCTGTGTGTAGCAGCACCCCCAAGGCCCCCCTAACACTTACCTGAGCCCCTTCTTGATTCAGCGATGTCCATGAGAGCCTCGGTTCTCCAGGGACTCTCACTCCTAATTGGCTGAGGCAGCAGTGGAAGCCATTGGTTCCCAATGCTGTCAAATACAGCCAGTGAGCCAATCAGCGGAGGGGGCGGAGCCAAGCTTGGGCACTGTGTATGAATGGACACACAGACCCGGGGCTGAGGAACGTGCCTGTTTGCTATGGGGGAACCCAATAGGAGGGAGGAGCCAGACGTGCTCAAGACTCGGGAATATTTTAGTATCACTTTAACCTCACTCTTTCATTTTCTTATCTTCTTAAAGCTAGGAGTATAACATTCAAGCTATAAACAACATACAGTATGGACATTTTCTGCCACTGAAGGCTATTTGCAGTGCACTCTGGAACGAGGTTTTGGACACCTGGGACAATTTTATTGTTAGCTCTTGTTTCAAGTGCCTGCATCCTTGTTTGAAATCAAATTAGTGCCATACAGCCAACTGTACCTAATCTTAAAAAAGAATTCCAAGCAGTTATCATTTAAAGTACAATGGAGGTACAGTATGTTTAATGTTTAATTTACACTTATGGCCAAGACATCCTTCATTTGAAGGAAAGGACTGTGGAAACATGGGTCTATTTGCTGTCTTATCATGCACAGGCTGCCAGTTACTGCACATTGTTTTGAATCCCCATACAAGACTTAGGATCTGATAGTTATAATTTAAATGCATTTTGAAGACATGTTTCAGCTCATTATCTAGCAAAAAATGGCAGCAGTTTTGTTGTTAATGATGATAAAGGTATTAACAGCAGCAGGATGAACAGTAAAGGGATCAGGTCTGAAGGTAATTAACTGACCAGAATACATTCCAGAGTTTTGACCCGTGGCATTTTAAGGAAAAAAATAGACATTTTGTCTTACCTGTAAATTCATTATCTTGGCGTATAGTACATGACACAGGACTTGTATTCTTAGGCCATGGGTTATAAGCAGTTACCTTCAGGTAATTGGACCCTGGCAAAAAACATGGTAGGGCTTCCCCCAGGTCGCACCATACAACCCACCCACTCCTTAAGACTGCAATTTTCTAGCAAGCAATAAGCAGTGATCAAGACCCAGAGATAAGGGGGCTGTGTCCATTCCTGTACTCCAAGATAAGGAATTTACAAGTCAAAATTCCTGTTATCATTAATTGTACAGTACATGACTTGTATTCTTAGACCATGGGATGTACCCAAGCAATAAATTGAAGGGTTGGGCAATAACATAGCAAGCAGAACTGCCAACAGACGTACAAGAAAATGAGGATTGAGAAACGCAAACAACAAACACTCAGATGACAGCTTGAAGCACCTTGTAGCTGAAGCTGAGGCCTAAACATCCACCTCCATGTAAACAGAGGTCCAGGGGACAACCTTGCAATTATGGGAAGCAGATTCTAGATGCTGAAAAGCCCATCAGACACCTACAGCCCTGGTGCAATAGGCTCTGATAAGGAAAAAACGAACTCTGTACCCAAGGGTGTAAGCCTTGAAAATTAGTTGCCTGATCCATCTGACAATGGCGTAACAGGAATCAGGATGGCCTCTATGATGAATCACATGCAAGACAAACAGGAACTCAGTCTTGCAAATAGAGGCAGGTAGACCCTGACATCCTTGACCACATGTAAGCAATTAACTGGTAATGTTTTCAGGCAGGACAAAGGGAAGGAAGAACAATGTCCTCATTGAGGTGAAAAGAAGAGTCCACATTAGTTAGGATGGAAGAAAGGTTTTAGTTCTTGGGCTTGTGCAAAGCAAGAAAGGGCTCTTTACAAGAAAAAGTGCCAATTCAGAAACATGCCTTACAGATGCAATGGCTACCAGGAGGGTACCCCTTACAAGTGTGGCCTTCCAACAGAACAGTTTTAAATGATTCAAAGGGAGGTCTTTGAAGTACAGAGATACTAGGTATGGATCTCAAGGTTACACAGGAGGTCAACTTGGGGGATCTATATGAGCAACTCCCTGAAGAAATGTCTTGATGAGGGATTGTGAGGCAAGACGTTTTTGTAATAAAATGGATAAAGCAAAAACCTGTCCATTGAGGATACTCAGGGCCAGAAGATGGACAAGACCAGACTGAAAACAGGCCACAAAACAAGTGATAGAGTATTCCCTGGGACTCAACTTTCTGTCCTCACCCCTGGAAAAGTAAGCCTTCCATGTGCAATGGTAAATCTTACAGAAGTTGGATCTTCTAGCTCTGAGTAAGGTGGGAATACCAGAGAAAGAAATACCCCTGTGCTTTAGGACTTGGGTTTCAACACCCATGCAGCTAAAACTAGAAACTGAGAAGCAGGATGGAACAAGGGGCCTTGGACCAGTAAGTCTGATCTGTATGAAAGAGGTCAAAGCTTATACAACAGAAGTCTGAGTATGTCTGTTCACTACATTCTTAAGGGCCACTTTTGTGTGATGAGAATCACCTGAACCATTTCCGCTTCATTCTTGCACAAAAGTTAAGTAAGAATCTTCACCCAAGCAAGAGGCATAAACCAGCTTAAATTGAGTCCAAGGAATCAAGGAAGCATCTACTACAAAGGCTAGAGGCCTGATCTTGGCTACAAATTTGTTCAGCTTGTTGTGGAAACTGGGGGACTGGATGTCCACATCTGGCTTTCTCCAACTTTCATGGGGATTTTGAAAGATCTCTGGGTACAGAGACCACTCTCTCTAGGCGCTGGCAGCTGAAGAAGTCTGCCTACCAATTGTTTACTCCAGACATGTGGATGGTCGAGAGAGCTGGAGTATGAATTTCCCCCCAGGAGAGTATCAGAGTTGTTTTTCTTAGGGCAGCCTGGCTTCTGGTGCCCCCGGATGGTTTATGTAAGCCACTGCTGTGTTACTTTCCAAATTGTTCCCTGACCTTGCTGAAAGGAAGTCCAGCATTGTAAAGACAATCTGATGGCTTCCACGATATAGAAGGAAAGTTTTGATTCCTGTAGAGTATGTAAAGAAAAGACTTTCCCCAGGGCAGGATGGGAGATCCACCATGATTTAAGGATGCACTTTAGCTTGACAGAAGCATTGTGTGATTCCAGAATTGTATATAATTGTTTCATGACATGAGTATGTTGGATTGAAGAGGTCTGGAGTGAAACTAGGAAAAGAGAATGATGAAAGTAAGGCTTCCCACCTGTTAGCTAGGTGTCTAATCACACAGCGGAAGCAAAAGAATGTTAATGCAAATCATGTAATGTTACCATTTCTTTTCTATCCCCTGTATTTTTATATTTTTTGCTGCTTTAAGACAGACACAATTCTACGACTAATGTCCTAAGAACGCTGCATTTTGGGTGAACAGACCTATAGTTGCTCAGCTAAATGGAGAATTGGCTAGTGCTAGGAAATGCATGTGAAAACGCATGGCAATTCACATTAATGCAGTTCATATTAATGCATGCATTTTCAAGCACATCTAGTGAGATTAAACCCTTACATTTATGCACTTTTTAAATTATTTTAACAGATGTGTTAAGGTATAATACCGAACCGCATAAAACTTTCTGATGGTAATGACACATATAACTAGATTCTATACAAACAAAATTGCAAAAATGTTCATGCCACTTCTTGCTTAATCTGACCTAGGTACAAAAACTCACTATAAGCTTTCTGAAAATTATTTGGATTCATGACATTCTGCTTACATCTGTTTGGATGATGCTCCAAGCATTAGTGAGACCTATGTTTCCTTCTGTCCCATACAAGTGAAGGCCCTTCTTCAGATCTTGTTGAGCATACCGGTCAATCTGGAATAAAAAATTATATTTATAGCATCTCCAGAATCACAACATTGACAACAAATCTCACACAGACTTAAAGTGGAACTAAACTTTCGCAATTAACATGAACTATGATTAAGTGGTTGTGAAGCCTGAAGGTTTTTTACCTTCATGATTTGTATGCATGAAAGTAAGAAAGCTTCTGTGTGCTGCTCCAAACCCCAATGCTTACCTGAGTCCCCTTTCAATCCAGCGATGTGCACAGGAGCCTTGGCTCTTCCAGGTCTCTCTCTCGCCTCATTGGATGAGATACAGCAGTGGAAATAATGGGCTCAAACTGCTGTCAATCACAGCCAGTGAGGAGAGAGCAGGGGGCAAGGATGAGCCATGACACTGTGTGTATTATGGACACAGAGTGGGAGTTGGGAGCGAGCACGCATCAGTGCCCCCATAGCAAGCGGCTTGCTATTGGGGCACTGGTCAAGGAGGAAGAACCAGAAGCGCCAGCAGGGGACCCAAGAATAGGAGGATCGGGCTCCTCTGTGCAAAAAAAACCACTGCACAGAGCAGGTAAGTATAACAAGTTTGATATTTTTTTAAAACAAAAACAAATCTCTGCTATCACTTTAATCCGTATGCTGCTGGCCTTAGCAAATAGAGAGAAAGTTATATTATATTATCTTGTTTTGACCTTTTTTAACATTTCTTCAGTTGCTTCCTGGTATCTGGCCTAAGCTAAAATGATGTCATACATTCCATAAGTCTTCTTTCATGTGGAGGAGGGAAGAAGGGGGTTTCCTCAACTAAGCACACCCTCCTGACTGCATTGCTGAGTTAAGCGAAGATGAATTCCAGGAGGTAAATGCCGCGTGAATCATCTGTCCTTACTGAAGATGCCACACACAGCCAGAAATTCTAGGGGTGTTTTTCAAAGTGATTTTGCAACAAAATAAAGCCTGGAAACATGGACAGGTGGGTGAGTTTGCTTTTAATATTAACTGCTTTAGTGCCGCCCCATAGCAGAAATACTCTACAGGGCGATGCGCAAAATCACATATTTGCGGTCGCGGCTGTCAATTACCAGGTCCCTGACGTTGATTATTCACTGGCGCCCGGTGATTGCCGAGGATCTCCGACAGGGGGTGGAGAATTGTTAGTAAACAAAACAATTCTCCCCCTGTCAGCTCCTGCACACTGCTTTGCATGGCTGTGCACAGCAGAGCCATGCAAAGCAGTTTGCTTTCAGTGAAGCACAAACACAGAACATCATGTAAAACAGCACACAGTTAACCCTTTGATCACCCTACATGTTAAACCCTTCATGCCCAGTGCCATTAGTACAGTGTCAGGGCTTTTTATTAACATTGATCACTGTATTGGTTCACTGGAGATGTCAGTGAGACCAAGTCAGTTCCCCCCAGTGTCAGAATGCCCACCGCAGTCCGGCTATAAGTTGCTGATCACCGGCATTACTAGTAAAAATAAATAAATAAAACTCAGTATATATACCGACATTTGTAAACGCTATAACTTTCGCGTAAACCAATTAATTTAACATGTATTTGGATTTTTTTGTAGCAAAGACATGCCGCAGAATACATTTTGCCCTAAATTTATGACGAAATTTGATGTTTCAAATTTTTTTCAAATTGTCATTTTTATTTTTTTATAGCGCAAAAAATAAAAAACACACAGGCGATCAAATACCACCGAAATAAAGCTCAATTCATGGAAAAAAAAGGATGTAAATTTAATTTGGGTGCAGCGTTGCATGACCGTGCAACTGTCAGTTAAAATAACACAGCTCCGTAACACAAACAAGTGGCCTGGTCAGGAAGGGGCACAGCACAGGCATGCAAAGCAGTGAGCTTACAGTGAAGCACACAGACACAGCACACAGTTAGCCCTTTTATCACCCCTAATGTTAACCCCTTCCTGCCCAGTGCCATTAGTACAGTGTCAGTGCTATTTTTTAGCACTGGTTACTGTATTTGTGTCACTGGGGATGTCAGTGACACCAAGTCAGTTCCCTCCAATGTCAGAGTACACCCCCCCCCCCCCCCCCCCCCCCCCCCCCCCCCCCCCCCCCCCCCCCCCCCCCCCCCCCCCTCCCCCCCCCCCCCCCCCCCCCCCCCCCCCCCCCCCCCCCCCCCCCCCCCCCCCCCCCCCCCCCCCCCCCCCCCCCCCCCCCCCCCCCCCCCCCCCCCCCCCCCCCCCCCCCCCCCCCCCCCCCCCCCCCCCCCCCCCCCCCCCCCCCCCCCCCCCCCCCCCCCCCCCCCCCCCCCCCCCCCCCCCCCCCCCCCCCCCCCCCCCCCCCCCCCCCCCCCCCCCCCCCCCCCCCCCCCCCCCCCCCCCCCCCCCCCCCCCCCCCCCCCCCCCCCCCCCCCCCCCCCCCCCCCCCCCCCCCCCCCCCCCCCCCCCCCCCCCCCCCCCCCCCCCCCCCCCCCCCCCCCCCCCCCCCCCCCCCCCCCCCCCCCCCTCCCCCCCCCCCCCCCCCCCCCTCACCGCAGTCCCGCAGTCCTTCTATAAGTCACTGATCGCCGCCATTACTAGTAAAAAAATTTTAAAATCCCAGTATATATACCGCCATTTGTAAACGCTATAACTTTCACATAAACCAATTAATTTACACGTGTTGGGATTTTTTTTTTTTTATCAAAGACATGTCGCAGAGTACATTTTGGTCTAAATTTATGACGAAATTTGATTTTTTAAATTTTTTTACTGGACATGTTTAACAGCAATCTCTATAAACCTGTAGAGAATAACAAAAAATATATTTTCCCTATATACCTCTAATATGTGGAAGAAGCCAAAAGTAGAAGCCAAATCTTGTAGAAGGAATGGAAAAAGAAAAAAAAAATATAAACTGAAAGCAGCTTGAAGTGACACTGAACTCTGGTTTAAAAAAGAAAACTATTCAAGTATGTATTCTTCACGTAAAGAAGTGCCTTCTAATGTTCTCAGGTTCCTCCAAATCTCCAAATTCCTTTTTTTGCTGCTGTGATCCAGCTCCTTGTTAGAAGGTGGCTATGTTTGTTTTCCATGCTCCTACTGTGTTGGAATGTAGCCACCCTCTCTTGCTCACTCCCAAACTGGACCAGGGACTATGAACTTTTGGATTTGCAGTGTGCATAAAACAGTGCAAATTACCACAATTAACATGTACTGCTAGGTCTAAACAAATGGTAGTGAAAAGGAGAGGTTTGGGAGCTCAGATAGGACATTAAAGGGAGGCAGAAACACAGTAAGAAACAATTTTGTGCTCTTACACTTATTGTCTAACAATATAACACAGTGAACAATTATGGTTAATGTTAATATACTGCCAACTTGTGGACATTTTGGTCATGGCATCATCCTTTTCTGTTTTCTCTGTCCCCTCCCATCATGCATATCTGTGATGCATTTCCTCTTCCTTCTTCACTCTGTCTTCTTGGGATGAATATGGCCGCTTGTCTCTAGGCCTAATGCAATCTGCTTGCATCCGGAGACACATTACCATATTTTGACCTGCAAATACCGTCCTTTCATTCATCTGAAACATCTTGTTGTCTGCTATCATCGAGTTGCATTAAAGAAAGACCTTCATGGTTCAGAAAAACAGGTGTTTGGTGAGTTCAGCTATCTGATAAAAACTGTCTGCAGTGATTGCATCTGCTTCTACAGTCCAGGCATAGAGGTCTCAGCAAGAGATAAGTCACTAATACAACAGTTGGAGTCGGAATACATTTCATGAAAAATGGATTGCAGGGCCGTTGTGAATGTGTATGGATTATTTTTTGAAGAATAAGAATATCTTTTAGTGGCATTTTAATCTTTAGGCTTTGAGAGACAAAAATGTAAACGAGAAATGAAACAAAAAAAGAAAATAATGGAACTTCGATTAAATCATTGCTGCTTAAACAAAGTCGCGTTATATTTCACCAAATTACTTACTATGTGCCTAAGACAAGATTAAGCAATGATATTGATAATAACATAAGAACAATTTAAATTCAGGTGAAGACATAGGAAAACACTACATGACCGCAACAAAAGAGTTCATAAATTGATTGGCAATCCCCCTCCAAAAAATAGGTTATTTAAGGATAACATATTCTAAAAATACACAAAAAAATTGCTCCCAAGTTTTTGTGGTTTGTAACTAACATGCAGTACTGTATTTCAGGGACTGATGTGAATGTACAATATATATATATTGTACATTCACATCAGTCCCTAATATACAGTACTGCATGTTAGTTACAAACCACAAAAACTTGGGAGCAATTTTTTTATGTATTTTTAGCGTTGTATAAACTGACAGCACTATATGAGTACCTTAAATAATTAAATAAATCTCCTTGAGCATGTTACTAGATTTACTATGTGTTTTGGTGTGGATGGGCGTTTGTTCACATATTTACAACCAAGGCTGCTGTTTCTGCAAAGCACTGCTAGATCATACATACAAATATGAGGCTATTTGTATATATTTTAATTTCACAATAAAAAGGCAAACAGCTATAATAAATGGCAGCCGGAATCAGGGCCGGTTTGCGCCAGACCATGGTGCAGGAAAACCGTGTTCCAATGCGTTTTTCCCATGCAGCATTCAAAATGCACTGGGTGTGCAATATGCTGTTATTCCTAATGACATCTCAAAAGCTGACTGCAAACACAGTGCATCTGCCTGCACCAGATCGCAAGGTATATCAGTATCATGCGATTCAGTGCAGTGCATTTTTGGAAAGTAGCGCATGCACCACTTTTTTGTGCGATCCAGTGCAATTTTAGTCCATTCAAATGAATGGGCTGAAAATTGCACCACACTGAGTCACATAGGAATGTAGACTGCATTCCTCTGTGATTCTGTTATGATCCGCCAGGCGGAGCCTTCCGGCTGCCAACTGATAGACCAACCCAGAGCGTGGGGTCTAAGCCCGGGCTGTGCCTTCACCAGGGCCCCTGATGGTGGGGATGGACTTGAAACAGTCCCGGGCCAGGTCTGGGCGGGCCCACCAGCGGCTGGGAAGGCCTCCGGGGATGCGTGTAGGTACCGG